GTATACGCAAATAATTGATGCTTTTTTGCCAAAACTGGCTGAAATGTCTGGTTCCACAACAGGCTCGAGCTACGGCTCGCACAACACTATGTTCAATGGATCTTCTTGGACAACATTTTGCAAAGCGCCTCATCTCTTTGGGAGGTGACCTTTGGCCGGTCCGATCCCCCGATTTGGCTCCATGTGATTTTTGATGAGATTATCTTAAAACAATTTTTTAAAATGACTGTCCAAGAACCCTACCTCATTTGAAGAACAACATACGCCAAGCCATCGCCAACACAAACGTCAAAATGCTTCAGCGAGTTGAACGGAGCTTCAAAAATCGACTAACTGATTGCATGATTGCATTGACTATGGGGCAGCCATTTTTCTGATGTCATGAAACTAAGTGATATAAAAATTGTGGTAATTTTTTCAATAAAATTTATATGATAATTATACCTTTACTAGTTCTTTTTTTAATGAGCTTTCAAATCAGAAAGTTTTCGTGATTCATCCTGTATTACCACTCTGTACAGCCTCACTGGCTAAATAGGCATTCAAACTACTACAGCGAATGGACTCAATTTCATATGATAGTTTTTAGGCCATCTACAATCTACGTCATGCTGTGAACTCCGATCTTAGAAAAGACACTGCAGCGAGGACTGGAACTATGTATATAAGGTCTGATCTTCTCTACCATCACCTCTTCATTACCGCACGACAAAGACGGCTACTGCATCCCAAGCTTTAATGATACTTTTTATGATGTTAACGATCTTCAGGCTTCTTTCTTGACTATTAAGAGGATATTTTTCTTTTCGTTGCAAAAAAAGCAGCTGATAAAAATCTTTGACTTATAATGCAGAGCCGTCCGATGCAGTAACACCGGTTTCACGGTACGATGAAAAACATTGTTTCAAATGCTTTTCTTTGAATAACTGTAGATAATCGCAATTTTTTCGTTCTGTTTACTATTCATGCAAGGCCATAGTAAGTCTCACAAGTGTTGTGTGTAAGGTGATGGAATCGGTTATGAGGGATAGGATTATAGATCACTTGACTGTTAACCATCTTCTATCAGACTGTCAGCATGGCTTTATTGCTGGCAGATCATGCACCACTAATCTCCTGTCTACCTTGAATAATTGGACTCGCCTGCTGGATGAAAGGGTGCCAGTGGATGCACTCGCGTTCAAGAACAGACTAGACAAGGCCATGCATGAGCATATGTTCAGTCTTAAAATGCCTCGTACCCTACGGAACAACTGATATCTTCCGTCCGTATGGCCAGTCTAGTCAAGAAAAGTACAAGAATCGGCGACAGGCCTATCCAGGCCTATTTATTTAATGCCGAAGATACTATACTATACTATACATAGTAATGCCGGTCGGACAGTTTATTTTGCAACGGTTTCTCGAACAGTGTGGTTCCCTTTGTAATTGAGCGTACGTTCACGTGTAGAGTATATACGGTATTTCCCCATGACAGTTCACACGCTAAAGGCAGTGGTTTGAATGAAATTTTACAACAAAATTGCATCCTCGTACCCACGATTCATCCACTCACACCGTAGAAAAATATAACTCAGTACTCACTGCAGTGAGTGATAGAGAGCGCATTTTCTCGTCGACGAAAACTTGAAGTCACGGACGGATAGACGGACGGACGGACGTGGCGAGCACAATAGTGAATTTTTCCATAAATGAGAAAATGCGCTAAAAAGAGTACGTATTGCCTCACGCCTGTTCCGTATACTCCTCTCACGAGATAGACGTGTCAGTATCGGTGCCTGCTTCTGTTTGCTGTATTTTTAGCACATTTTCTCATTTATGAAAAAAATGCACTATTGTGCTCGCCATGTCCGTCTGTCCGTCCGTGACTTCATGTTTTCGTCGACGAGAAAATGCGCTCTCAATCACTCACTGCAGTGAGTACTGAGTTATATTTTTTTGCATTTGACGCGATATTCTGGTCTAACTTTGTTCACTTTCGGAAGATTTTAAGACCCTGTTTTTGGTAACATTGTCACAAAAACAATGTTACCAAAACAAAAAATAAAACATTTCTGTTGAATTGCTTTTATTACGTAACATGTGGCTTTTTAGTCTGATATTTCTTGAAATTACTCGCGAGTTTTTTCCTTTTTAGTGGAAAGACTTTCTTTTCTTCCACTTAAACGTCAATTTTCGAGCGCAATCCGTCAAGACATCGTTGACGGCGTCGGGCTTGTCTATACGCTGCCCAGGTCATCAGTCTTGCATGTCCCGCAGCCGGGCTATGTTTTCCAAAGGCTTCTTGGGAGCTACCGTTGCTCCTGCACGCCGTAATGTGCCGAACCAACTCTCTTGATATTTTCAGAAGAGATTGACTTCTCGCAGGTACATTGTGAATTGGCAATGATTTATAACTATTTTACGTACAATATCTCTGAAAATGTCCCACCTATAGAATCAAACATCACTCACGACGATCTGACCTTCACGTATTCTGAAAATTTGCCTCAACCAATATATTGTAGTTTGTTCGCTGGCTCGCATAATTCTTCCACTTCCATAGTTCCTAACCACTAGCCTGCTGCCTACCTTTTCTTTTAGTTTCACTGCAGATGCCTCAGCAGGCGCTATTGGGTCCTATTTCGGTCGATCTAAATCGATCAAACTAAGTGTCGCAAGTCCAGCAAACTCCTTCAAGTATTTGTTGGGGGAATCCATGTTCTTCTCGCAACTTGTTTAGTGAAGTGACCTCTCGCTACTGCACAGTTAACTTGTCCCTCCAAGCTCAGCCGTCCCTCTTGGGTCATTTTGGGCTGCTCGTGTTAGCTGGTCAAAGGCACGGAACACTGACGAGCTTCTTGCGCAGAAGCTCATCCGGCAGGTGTCTTAATTATTTACTATATTACAAAACTTCATAGAAAACTTATAATCTGTGATGCAGTTTAATTTATTTTTGGTTTGAAATTTGGACCCTTAGTTGCGAAGATATGGGTTCAGTGCAACTATGTTCTATTGTTTGTTCCTGTGTTTGTTTGTTTTTGTTTTTAATTTTTTTTTCAGATCGCGCATGTTTGTTTTTGTCACATTTTTTGTACGTCACGGGTTATAAATTGGTACGTATTATGGCCGTTTCTTATTCACTTGATGCAAGAGTCATGGATGTGCTTGTTTTAGTTATCTTATAGAGTAAATGACGAGAGGAAGTTAAGGTCAGCATTTACGTACTTCAAAAATCAAAAGTGAACGATCGGTCCGTTGCACTCCATAATGGTGGACGGGTTAAGATGTCTGCTTACGATCCTGAAGAGATGTGGCTATATCATCAGACATTCTTAACAACATCCGATGACGTCAGTTTTCGGCTGAAAAGCTTGGGTAAATAATCTTCCCCTCCATCATCGAAACATGAGACATTTTAAAAAATGGTCGTTTGATGAGACGCAATCAGCTTTAAGCGGTCAGCAGTTGGTATTTTTCGAAGCCCGATCTGGGAGCGCAGAGACTGGAGTGAGAGGTCGTCCGTTTAAGCACCGCTCTTATAGTGCAGTCGTTACCATACGTCAGATATTGATCGATTTGTGCTCGAGCGTTCAGAGCTGCACCGTCTGTTGCCTACCTTCTGTTGATGCTGCTGCTGCAGCTGTGCTGCTGCTGCCTGCTGCTCCTATACCTGTTGTGTTGGTGTTAAATACTGCTTTTATTTCCCTATGCTACTCTTGATGATGTTTTTGCTGCTTATTCTGATGCTGTTGCTTCCTGCTATTTCCATCGTTCATGGTCCTTGTTGCAACCTGCAACTCTTAGTTCCTTATACCGACGACGCTGCGACCCGTGAATGCTATGATATTCTTGCACCTTGTCATTTTTGCCAGTCGCTCCTCATCAGTGGTGATTCTACCCGATTCTGCCTCTGCTACAAATACCTACCGTTGGTGCTGCAATCTTCCGTTGTTTCTAATGTTCGTGTCAGTACTAGCGATACCGCATGCTGCTCATTCAGGTGCTCTTGCTATGAAAAACTCCGGCGTCGTTGCCATCTTTCGGTTCATCTACCTATTATTGCTGATTGTATTCGTTTTACTCAACCAATGCTGATGCTGCTAAATATTTCCTTATTTCCTCGATGTTACTGCTGACAAGTTTTGTTGCTGATTGGTGTTATTCATACTAAAGTAGTAACTGAAAACCTATTAATCCGTTCTGAATTTGCTCTTACCAAACAAAATATAGGATTTCTCGGAATAACTGCTCATTTTTTAGGCAAAGAATAATCCTAAAACATCATAAAATGTACATTACTGTAAAGTATTGGCCCAAGCATTGTAGCAAGAATGATCTACTCAACATAGCATACCTTGATTTTGATAACTTCGTGTTGGACTGGACGGACTGTAAGGATTACCGGGACCTGAACTTTATATTGATTTGGTCAAATTAATTTTTTAATTTTTCTGACAGTTTGAATTCCCTGATGAAGTATTTATTGCTGTCTGTCTTTTCTCCATTCATATGTAGCTATTTTGGGTCCCATTTTCTTACTTGTAAAGTTCTCTAAAGTGAACCAAATTGCATGAAACGAAAATGAGAACTAGAGTGTAAAAACGCTTCTACCGACTAAAGGCGGCGGATGAGCGGGTGAAAGTGACGTATATTCATAATCATCGAATGAGTCGTGTCGACATCCAAATTTTCGTTGACTTCTGAGATGTGATTTTACCAAGTTCGTCGTCGCCTCGTGACGGCCGGCGTTGAGTTCTGAACAAACGACTTAGGGTGTTTGTTTAGCACTTTAGCGTGTATACGAAGACTTGAAATATTTGTTTCTTCAATCTATAGCCATCAAGGAAGTAAAAATTATTTGTGTTATAATGACTTGTCCGCAATCACTCTTCGGCGGTACAGCGTGTTTTTTGATATTTTGTTGATGGAAAATTAGACGATAGTAGGTTAATTTAAAGTTCTCTATTTAGTATTGATTGTTACGATTTTTAATGGTGTTTTTCTTTTTGTTATTTCAGATATACGCCTCTTCACGACGAACAGTTCTTGAATTCGGAAGAGAAACTGCAAAAAGACATCTGGCACGGGTGCTGCCGAACTCGAGTTTCACATGATTTTAAATGATGGTTGTTCCTGTGTAAAGACCAGCGTTTATGCTGACTTAATTTTCGTTTGCTTACGTCCTTGAAATAACGAATACAAATGATCGCAGTAACCAATCGAGTTCTCATTATATTTTTGCCTCATGTGAGTCACTACATTTATTCTGAAACAAACGCTTGATTAATTCATAACGTTTGTTCAAGCTGTTATGTTCAAAATAGTGATTTTAATTTTCATACGAGTTTGTATCATATTTAGCTTCTTCTCCTGGTGAATCATCGTGGCTGATATTTGAGTCAAGCTTCTCCGGTGCTCGCTCACTCGTTTCAAAACTCCTGCATTGCGAGGGGAGCGTCGTTGAGAGAATACCCCTCGTGGGACGCTGCACACCACGGAATGGGTCATCAAGTATCCCTGCGGTACTTTGCCTACACTTCTGCCGTTTTAAAAGCCATCTTCCACAATGCTGGGGCAGCTCCAGCACCGGCATGTCACCGGTGATGGTGGAGTTGTGCATCTTTTCTTGTGCGGTTTATCGATCCCTGCAACGAACAGGTGGCTTTTCTGATGCCTCCAGAGGCTGAACTGATCATGAGATATGGTCTCAATAAGGCGGCCAGAAAACCGAATCTTGGATAAATCGTTCTCGACCCCCTCCTTGCTTGATTGGAGTTTGAAAGTGTGTCGCTCAGAAGGACTTGCCGTTCATAATGAGTAATTTTGCAGTTTAATTGAACTATTCATAAGTGAAGTGACACATGCGCGTCTCATCGCAAATATTTCCTATTGTGGATAATGTGATAACTGTGAAGAAAAAGGCTTTCAAAGCTTTAGAGAAAAAAGAGAGCTTCACCACTTTTGGCCCCTTCTCTTCACAAGTCCCAAATCTCTTCCCTGGGTGTTGCAGACGGCTCGTCCGGCCTCAATTGTGGGGAGATCCATGTAATGAAACCGATTGTGTCGACAGCGAAGCCCCCACTAGGATTTCCGGATACTCGAATGCCTAAAGCAGAGGGTGATTGTAACCTCGTGTTTGCCGAGTGTCGAACAGAGCGAAATCAGTGTGTGGGCGTGGTTTTACGCGCAAATTTACCTCCTCGCTATTCATCTTCTAATAAATATTCAAGCAAGAAGTTCAAGATCATGTTGAGATCTTCAAAGATTTTGGCTTCGCGATTACTTCTCTCAGTAATTATACTAGCTGCTTGGTCTCCTGGAGTGCGAGGTGAGTCTGTCTGGCTACTCTATTGTACATTGATTTATTTAACATTGTGGTTAAGACATTGCTTATTCGCTTATACGACGAAGGGTTCACTGTATTTTCGTCCTATAATTGTGGTTCTAAATGCTTTCTTTATTTAAAAAAAATGCTTACAATCATAGCTTTAAATGCTTTCCTTGTTCTTAATTAGAACGTACACATTTAAAAAATTTTAAACTGATTTTTCGAGTACATTTTATTTTTCATAGGAAAAGCTGAACGTCAATATCTATGCACTTAAGAGACCAGTTTATATCGTGCTTTTCTGCTCTTTACGTTGCGTTTATTTTATGCGAGTCGAGGCTAGCTGAAGACTGGGTGCTCAGGAGCCTGAGCAAAATAGGGGATAAGGAGGCTCAAGTATGGAAACTAACCGAGTGCCCCGAACTCAATTACGGGCAAACTCAATTAGTCTGCGCCTTTACGGGATTTGAGGAGCTTATGCTTCCTGCGGACCGCTAATAATGTGTCTCCGCGGCTGCCGTTTCGAGGGGCCCAGTCAGGGTAACGGTAGACCCTGCTTCGCAAGTGCACCCTACCAGGGCTCGGTCTCTGCGAATTACTAACAGGAAGTGTCATAAAAAATGCACAACAATACAGGGAGTTACGAATTCGTGGATGCTGTGGCCAGTGTATGTAGATTTTCGTGGTAAAATTTCTATTATGATCAGTGTAAGTAAATCTTATTTATTCTTACCCAAGATGCAGTGTGATCAAGTTTCGAAGGTTTAGCTTCATCTAAACCAACTATCGAATGCCATATGCTATTTATGCAATAACTGGGCGTTTAAAGGATAATATATTTCATTAATTGAAAACACTAACATTTAATATTTTCCATTTCTATCAATGCAAAATTAAAATAGCTACCAACATTGGGTTGAAGCAACGGCTCTTATTCGTATTTATTCGGCAATGTAATAGTCACACTAATGAAGATATATAAAATGGTATCTACCGTAGTGAAATGTAACTCTCTCTCAAACTTAGATACAGAAGAGTCGAGTGATAATTAGAGTGTTGTGGAAACAGATTTCAAACGAGTGTGATCATTCGGAGGCTCCAAGAAACCTGCACTCTCTTCGGCTTCCATCTTAGTCACGCACCACGCTAGACAGATAACGCACGCGTTAATAGCTGCTCAATAATTTTTGGAGTCTCTAATGAGAAACGTGGAAAATAGTTTATGCCTTTTTGATTGATCTGGTCACGAAAAATGAAATTATAAAATTGATCGCGGGGCCGTTTGGAAATGCCACCGCATTTTCAGGTACTCAATAGGACTCATTCTGTTTAAATAGTTCTCAAGAGATAAAAAACTTTGGCTTCAAAGCCTTTTCAACATTGCTCAGTCCAAGATGCGTTTGTTGAAAGTCCATTCTGAACCTCAGGGTCCACAAGTGGTATTCCAAGTGTTTCTATTTAACGACTCTGCACCCACAAGGACGGAATTCTTAGTTCTCAGCCTGCTGGTTCGCGACGAATCCAGCTTAGTTCGTTATTCGATTAAATACTTTCTCAACCGAGAAATTACTTTTTATTGAATTTGAGACTTTAGGAGGTGTTCTTTTTACTATGGGAGGTGTTCTTTTTACTACTACTATTTTTTCCAGACTGGAAAGTTTCGGCCAGATGGAAGGATTCGTTTTGTGGCCGCAATTATCCATACCTGAACCTTTTTTACGATTATATATTTCTTGAGTTGTGATCAGTAAAACACTAAAATAGTCGAAGTTTTATGACGTGAAATAACAACTCGAACTAAAACTGACTACTAGTACGAATTTTTGTTTCCAGAAATAATTTATTCAGCGTAAGATTTTACCATAGTGATCGTTGTTACGTCAATAACCTATTTAGCGCCATCTAAAGATAATAATATTATAGCCAGTATATTCGTTGGAGATAATGGATGAAGCTTTCAACAATAACACACTTTATGCAGAGCGGAGTTGCGCGGCCGCGGTCGTGCTTGATTGCCAATAACGTTCATTTCTTGCTTTAAACGCTGGCCGCCGTACGCGTGGTTTGGAGATGCCCGCACCTGCCATTATTTAGGCTCTCATGGCCATACGGGACCAGCTGATGCCGCCAACTACGGCTGCATAATTTGCCGCTATGGAGCCCTCTTTGCGTCCACTTTATGGACTCATTAGTCTTGCGCAAGTAGTGATAAGAGTTTCCGCGACGTCGTTCTCTTTGTTAAGCAGCCATGCACATTTATGATGATTGGGAGCGCACAAAGCGAGCTGGCTATTAATAAGCGAGTGCTTCGTCTGTTTTGTGATGAAGATTCTCCTTAAAAAATTGCTTCTTGGAATAAATGACGGTAATTAGCCTGGAAATCTGAATTTTAAGATGATTTTCTGAGCGCTGCTATCAATTCCCTGATGTGAGCGTGACCATAAAGAACGTACATTTACATCTCAGAAGGGATCGTATGGTTCCAGCACTATTGTGCATGGTTGTGTACGCAATTCTAGTCTTTCGCGCGACTTCATTTCTTATGATTGCAGAAAATAAATACTGAAGCAAATATTGGTGAAGGAACGGCCAACACTCATTTAAGAATCATTGGCCTTGACAATACAGATTTATTTTTTCCTCTCATATGAGCATCTTATTGACAGATCGAGAAAATTTGTGAATGAAGCAGGAAGAAGTCAGTAAAAGAAATGTATATATTTTTTTCTAATAAGCTGATACAACGGCTCGATCGTAACGCTGAAGATATTTTTTTCCAAGCTGATAAATTTCTCGTTGTGGGGACGTTCAACGATCCCGATCTCCAGATCCGGATTTCTGTCTCTGGGGATGTTTTGAAGGGAAGGATGTCATGCAAATGCTGAAGAAAGGGAAGATTTGTTGAAAGATCACGTTTCAGTCGTAAAGACAACGGAGGCTAACCGGCTCTGGGCTATTATAAACCCTATTTAAAATTATGGTTTGATTAAGATTTCTTCCGTCGCTCCAAATGATCCGATTTATAATACGGCTTAATATAAACGTATTGCGTAATATTGCGATTTAGTTTTCACTTTTCGTTGAACTCTGTTTCTTCTCATTTTCAAGCCTTTCTAAGCGGGACACTTTTTCTCAATACCATGACATTATTTGTTCATCGAGAGGAGAATCTCTCATTCTCATCGAATGGAAAATTGTCTTAATCTTCAGGCATTTTTTACGTGAATATAATTTTTGTATTTCGTTCGTATGTAAACGAGAATCTGTTCCTGGCCGTCATAGATCATGTGAGGCGGCCCTGCAATTTTGTTCAGTGCACCAGAAATTCCTCGATATTGAATCAGTAAAGCGATGGTTCGCCCACCCGAGAATTGCCGCTGCGGTGTGTAGCGCTACTGAAGAGCGCATTTGGACAATAACCAACAATCAGAGGCAATTGCTTCCACTCTCCCCGCGATTGTTGAAGCTGCTCCACAGCTCGACACCATCGTTGTCGCTTTCTATTGCTTCAGTTTCTCTGCAGTTGCTGAGTGATGGATGAGAGTAGATATATTCACGCAACAGATCATCTGACCTTACAGCTTCATACAGAGAGATCGTGAAATTGTAGGACTATTTTTCACTATATTATTATTGAGCTATGAAATAACTATATTATTATTGAACTAATTTTTTCATGTACTTAATCGATAATAATAATTTTCACATCGATAAATACTTCGGACTCAAATTATGTCTTGATAATTTGCTGGTGAATTTAAAGATTCATTATTGTTACGTAAATGGTCAGAAAAATTGAACGCTCAGTATTCAGAGAGAGGTTTTGAATAAAAGCAATGCCGTTTTTTCTACTTTCAAATAAATTTTTATTCGTAAAAGTTCAAGGAATGAAATAATTCACCCTCCAAAATTTTAAAATTCCCATTTCCTATTTCTTTTCTAATTAGAAGACTCGGTTAGTTCCAAGGGCCTTCGTTCCAAGTTTTCAGTGCTATATTAGGAGAGACTTTGTTAATTCTAAAGCGATCTTACCTTAACTAGGTACCGCTCTTCTCATTGTGTCCAAAGTGGCAATAAAATTATGGTTTGGAATTGAATGTGAATCGTTGGGGTATTAGCAAGTCTCCTTTATGAGTTTTGAGAAGCCTTTTATTGGCGATCATCTCATTGGGAGGGTCGATATCTGCTTGCGTCGGTGCTTTGCATTAGGCACAATGCCCTCCAAAGATTCTTGGCCCTTGCCCCGTACAAATGTCTTAAAAGATTACCAATCCACGTGGATCGATTGAGAAAATAAATATTCAATATCCGTATTTTATATAAGGATTGCAATTTGAAATTTTGATGTTTGGAACTGATTACAGTTAATAAATTTGCATTGGTCTTAAGTTTTTTGTGCAGCAAAGTTCTTCTGTAAAGTTCTGTTGTGCAGCAGCCATTTATATGGGAAAATCCTAAATTTGAATATCTTTACTGTAGAGTGATGAATGATTGTTCCGTCTCCAATCAACGGATGTATGATGTATTCATAGATACAGACGGATACGACACTATAAGTAACTTGCAGGCTAGCCCGAACGATGTTGTTCGGGATAGATAATGCATGAGATTTTAGATTCCCGTTATCCTGAGAGAAGGAAGCTTTAGTTATTTTTGTATATTTATTTCTTTTTTTGAAAATTAGCATTAACTGCTAAAATCATCGTAATGCTTTTCAAATTACTATAGCGGGTTATTAAGAAACGTCAAATTTGCATTTACCATATAACATCCGCTTGAATCCCATTTTGAAGTGTATTAAATGTTGTTGGTAAATCATATTTCAATTCTCCATCACACCGCTCCTCTCATAAGCATTGGCAGACCTGTGCATCTTCCATGCCTGGATCCACCGAGTTCAGGTCTTATGAATAGCCTAACTTCTTAGAGGTTCCCTTCCCAAGTAGAAATTGGTGGTAGATTCAGATTAAAATTTTCATTATTTTTCGAATGTCGGAAGA